ACTCTCTTCGGCAAACGATGGTTCGGCATACGTGACACATGTCCCAACCAACGCAGCTTCTGGTGCTGGACACATTCTTCAATGGAAGTACCCGTTACACAACCGAAAACACGCTTTCTAACTGCCTCGTTATAAATTCGCTAACAGCAACCCACACGAGCTATGGTTCTGAGACAACGGTTGTCGAACACCTGAAGACGTCTCAGGTCCGCTGCTCGAATAGGCCAAGTCTCACAGCCATACAACAAAGCAGCCCGTACTGTAGCTTGATACACACGTCCCTTCAGATTCAGAGTTAAACCATTCTGACACCATAGGTGTCTCAAGTTAGCAAACGCGGCCCGAGCCTTGCAGATTCGTGCATTCACCTCATCTGTCACACTGCAATCAGAACTAATACAACTTCCAAGGTACGTAAAACGCTCCACAACTTCCAGTGCCTCTCCCTGGATTGTAAGTGGCATGTTCAGTGACTGCACTTCCACAAGCATGACCTTACACTTTGTGGATGCAAAGTGCATACCAAAGGACGGGATGACTTTCGTCAGTTCATCCAAGAATACTTGCGCCTTTTCCTCCTCTTCGAACATGAGAACGATGCCGTCCGCATATTTCATATCGACAAGATTTTCTTCACAGGCTATTTGAATACCAGGGCTTTGGAAACCCTCCAGCGTTCGTCTCATTATTTCATCGATCACAAAGCTAAAAACGAGTGGAGAGTGGGCATCCCTGACGGACACCGCTTTGTTTGCGGAAGCTTTTGGAGAGCTCTCCGTACACTCTCACACGTCCGGAAGTCTGAGAATACAAAGAACGTATTATGTTTACAAACGTTGGTGTTATATTCCCTTCTAGAATGTCGATCCGTGAATTCACTGGGTTTTTTTTTCTAAAATGCTTAGAACGTGCTTGTGAAGAACATAAAAAAGTTTTGTATAAGCAAGAATGAATGTGAGAACGAAAAATTAGAGAGTTTTTCTAGGTGCTTTATTGCAAGTAGCATTGGCAAAATCCTCTGACTGAACTATAGATGAATGTTCCTTCGGAAAAGTTGGAAAAACGGTCTGTAGGTTTATTGCTGGGCAACGTTTCATTTCTGACCCATAAGTTTCGTCAGGCCAAATGACCACATTGTACGGTTTTCCGAGTTTTACTCCGATGTATCCCGACCCTCATATCCTCAAATCAAGTAGTTTTCTTTGAAACTAAACCACACTTAGTCGCGTTTCTATGGATCGAGGGACGATGTTATCTGGAAGGGTGTGTTCCTGTTGTAGTGGTTATGTTATTCCTGGAGCCTCCCGAAAGTCTTGTAAAACAACTTGCGCCTGAAAACCAACCGTGAGTCTTTGTCCCACTGTTGCTAGTTTTCAGTATCCTAAGCTTAACCTGCACAGAAACATTGCCCTTCTCTGCCGTGAATAGTCATCTCAGCTGCTTCAGTTGCAGTATAGAATTCGGGCATCCGGGCCAACTGTATAATGGTGCGCCAATTCATCTAACTGTGTTTGTAAAACCAACCATCAGGTCTCAAAACTTTAGCCCAGGTTGATGCAAAGTCTGACGATTAAGTTGATGATAAGATACATCCACAGTTTGAATGCCCCTGTTACCCCTCAGCTCCTTCTATGTAAACGTGAACGACATCGTACTTCACTGGCCATATTGCTTTCTCCGGGCTCTGTGGCAGCTATGCCGTGTTTTACCTAACCAACTTTTCTAAATGTGCTGAAGCGGTCGGTCGGTTTATTTGTTGGCTCCACAAGGTCTGCTAGAAGTATAAATCTCGCCTCAGTTCGATAGCTTTGCGCACAGATCCATAGACTTTATCGCCCTGTTAGCTCCATAGACAAGGTGTAATGATGAAAGGTTTATCTTTACAAGTCCATAATAGTCAAGTAACTCCATCTATGAAAGATTCTTATTTACTTCGGCGTCGGGTTGTTATCGGCTTGTCAGTGACATTCGAACGATGGTGAAGTAAGATGCGCGATTGCACACTTCCGTTTAATGGATGGAATCATTCGACGGGCAATCTCAGTTCTGCAGCTGCCTTTATTCATTCGGATATGAGTTTTGGTTAGTTGGATGGCAGTTGGACTGGGAAACTACATGCACCAGACGCTATGCGATTATGAAGGAATGAAGCACGTAGTACAAATGTGCTACTTGAATCCCGGCAACCGGCACTATGGTTTCTTCGCTCAGTTTCATACTGCATGTCCTCATTAATAGGAAATCCAGGAGTAGTAAGCTGATCAAACTCTTCCGGGAAGTCTAGCTTGTAATTTATGTGATTCGCCACTCTAAGGCCTCAATAGGACTGCCCTCAATAGGAAGATGGCATCCACCGAATATGAGTATTCAGTCAAGACGTCAATGGTATCGTGACTTTATTTCTTTGTGCTCTTGCTTTATCCTCCCACAGGTGTACCACTTTCATACGCCATTAAAAACCCCCTATTCTTGCCAAATACCAATGTATAAGCTGTTCAATGACATCTTTTGGTCATGTGACTTTCAGAAACCGATTACAATTTCACATGATGCGGCAAAGTATGCCACTTCTCACTGTTGTCTCATGGACATAAAACTGTAAGCACAACTTGTCTGGTGGGACCAAGTCGCATGTGACCACTACAATTAGTAGACAGAAAATATCGACCTAGGGCCTGTAGAAACATGCAAGCCACTTGGTTTGAGGATATGCGTTTTTGGTGAACCACGTATAGGTGATACTGAGACAGAACTCTCATAATGCTGTTTCGAGTTTCCATTTTCGGAATGTTGAAATACATGCTACATGTGGTGCTTCTTGGATGGGATTTCAGAGTGTTATTTTGGCCATTTTCAATCTCGCCAGTGCTATGCCCCACGTCCTTTTATCTGTCAGGTACACCGTCATATTTGTCATATTTGACACTTCAGGATATGAAAAATGGCATCAGTCAAATATGATGGTGATGATGAAGCAGAATTTTGTAGTTTCTTAGTAACATGGAGCTTCTGGACGGTCAATTGGTTTGAATTGGTCTTTATAAGTCAAACAGCAGTATGAACTGGAAAGTAATCCGCGTTTTCGTGTAGAATTTAAATGGTATTGTCAAGCCGGATCCATAACCCGATCGGTATATCTGTTAATTTCTTGAGATCTTCAGTCGATACTGTGACCTACTTCGTACGAGTAAGAATTGATAACTTAAACCGTTGATTCGCTAAGCGACGTCAACCTTGTCAGTACTCAACTACCTGTCCTTACAGGGCCACCTTTTGGAAAGTATTAACACTGTGATGTCTTGAAAGGGGGGGGGTGGAGAAGTGTGTACGTTTTGAGCATATCTACTGAATGTTGGTTACACATCAACTTGTCCCTTCACTGGGGTCAGCTGTGTGAGCCTTACCGAGATCGGAGAAACCGTCCGCAAATACCCAGCTAACCGGTAACAGGTTCGGCGAAATATTCAATTTGATTACCTCGAGTAGTTTGTTCTTAAAGTTTAGCAAATCAAGCGAGATAATCGTGGATAAGCGTTGTGCAGATTATATTTCTTCTGTTCCAGGAAGAGATGGCTCAAGTGGTTAGAGCGCGAATTTACTGACCGGAAGGTCTGTGGTTTGAACTTGACCTCTGCCCCTCGACTTCCTCCGCCTGAGCTTGGGCAACCTGGCAGTATCCCAGTCCTCGTGCTTCCTTCGGGTGGCATGGCAGCTAAGCACCGGAAGGGTGTTACAACTGAGCAATTTTAATTAAATTTTCCAAGAAGAATGCACCCGGTGTAGAATTGGCCGAATCACTGGTGCCCTAGTCATACTTTTATTACGTTCGGAACCACCTATGGACAGCAAGACAGTTCATCTGTTAATTCGGTTTCGAGACAAAATTGGGATATTTTTAGTAGTTTCAGCTGATTGTACTTGTTTATCGTCGACCTGGGAGTCGCTGCCAGCCGCATAGTTCTCTGGTTGCGAAGAAATAGTTATTTTTCGGTATCGAAATGACTGATGTACGTTAAATTACTAGTAGCACTGGTCCTACCATTCACTTTTGAGGCCAACTTGTCCGCGGCCCCCTTCAAGAATTGTTCAGATACATCAATCCTCATCATCTCGAACAGTATTACGTTGTGCA